CTTTTGTTGTCCAAGAAAGAGGGAGGCCTCGTGTTTATTGCATGTTTGAAAAAAAATAGAATAAGTCATACAAAAACAAATGTTCAAAAATAAAAAGGTTAATTAAAGGGTAAAAAACATAATATGCAAATCATTCCTTGAATATTTGTGTGTGCAAATTCATTCCTTTGATAATATTGACAAAATCACAAAACATAATAGCAAAATTGAGATGTTTCTCATAATACCACCAGCTCATTTGAGGCATACAAAATCAGATAAAGATTCCTTATTAATTATTTCCAAAAAATAATAATTTTGATTATCTGTCCACATAATTATCAACCATAAACTTTTTTTTTTGTCTTATAATGTACTTAATTATACCAAACCTTAGCACAGTCTTTGTGTGTATATATATACACACAATCCACACAAACCCAAAGACCTACAAATCTCATTGAAAACTCATCTCTCAATTTTGTCATCATCTTTGCGCCATGGGAGAGGACTTGGAGGTGCAAGAAGGCGGAGCAATGGCGGCTAGAGACTACCATGATCCGCCTCCGGCACCACTGCTGGACATGGAGGAGCTTCGGAAGTGGTCTCTCTACAGAGCGGTCATAGCTGAGTTTGTGGCGACACTTCTGTTCCTTTATGTCTCAATCCTAACCGTAATCGGATACAAAGCTCAGACCGACGCAGCCGCCGGAGGAGGAGATTGCGGCGGAGTAGGGATATTGGGAATTGCATGGGCTTTCGGTGGAATGATCTTTGTTCTTGTTTATTGTACCGCCGGTATCTCCGGTAAGTATACAAAACGTTCGAGTCACGGTACTTCGGTTTTTTCACGTTAACAAAAAAAGTTAGAAATATTTGGTACGATATTTATATTTTTCATTCAAATAGTTCGATTTAGTATTTTTTATTTCCCAACAACATGCATTGTAATATGCCGTATTTAAATTCGGATAGCGACGCATCAACGACAATTACAAAAATTACTAAGCTACATGTTTAATTTTTCCGATTTAGTTAGGATTTAATTTTGGTTTATTTTCAACCAGGGTCAATTCGGTTTATGTAA